TTAGCTAATGCTGTTGTTGAGAATGATCTAGGATTGTTCATTTGCATTTTTATTCTACTTATTTAGCCTGGCAATTCTATTGCCAAAGTAAACTCTGAAAGAAATGGTTTCACTTAACTTAGCTTCTTATGGGAATCTTCCCTCAGTGTAAGTATACTGTAGTTGTTTATATATATATCAGCCTGCATTCCAAACCTTAAATAGGAGTTCGCAGGAGAGTGCTAGGCCTTGACCTTCTGTGGAAATGTATGGAGGGAAGAAGTGAGAATGTCTCAGAATAATGGGCGTTTTGTCATCAGTCACTCACCTACAGCCCCGGTCTGTGTAACTTCTACGGACAATTACAATGCAGATTGTCTTTCATGTGATAACATCACTAGTTTATATTTGAGTCAAAGAAGCAGGAGTCCTGTGTCTAGATTTAAAGAAATGTGCGCAGTACACAACAGAGCAGATTCACCACAATATGCAAGTATCTTGTGTTACATGTATTACATGTACAATATGTGAAGGAGGTAAAGTGTATGTAGAAATAAAACTTGTTTTAATTCAGTACATGTTGGCTTTAAAGAGCCTGTGACACGAGTTTCCCCCATCATCCAAACCCATCAATTTGAGTAAATATTGTCCCCTTGAAAACCGTTACTGAACTGATTTTGGATATTTGTACTTTGATAACCATTAATCTGCCCTTCAATGTTGACAATTTTCTGGATCTTCTCGGGGATTCTTGAAGTCCCGCCAAATGATGTGTGACGTCATTGCGGGCACAGCGCTCCAGCTGCACTGTTCAGGATCCCAGCATCTGCATGTAAACGCACGATGGCGCACACAACAGCAAGCTCAGACAGCGATGACAGTTTAATTTTGAACGTGTCTGAGAGCTCATATGAGGCTCAAGGATCGGTTTATGTTGTATCTGTTAGAAGTTTAGGAATTAGGTGCGTCAATATGGGCGATCATACGGTCATGTGGTCGACTGGGACTAAAAATCAGCCCGGGACTCTCGACCGGCCCACTTCGGTACTGCTAGTAAGTTGTCAACGGGGGGAGTGGGGGATGTGCTAGTGACTTATCCGACCGGCCCACTTCGGTACCGGCCCATCGGGATTCGTCCCGATGGCCAGTCCGCCACTGCACCCAGCCCAGCCCACGTAAACTGTCAACGGGGGGAGCCTCGCTGCTGGGGAAACGGTGGACCTAGTGTCCCGATCGGAGTGGGAATAATAATAATCATAATCCGTGCATTTTATCCATTAATTTCCCCAACATTGTGGTAAAAAAAAACACGTTTAATCCATGTTGGTGTACTACAACTACAAAAAACATCGGTTTGTTGTTTCATCAGGAAATGCAGACCGGCTCAAACAAACGATTTTTAAATCATCATCTTCACCACGATCATTTAATGTGTCATATGTTCGCCGAATTGACATGAAAGCACTAATAAATGTAGTTTCATCCAAATAATCGATTTGTTTTTATATCACATCCGACGGGAGGAAATTCAGCAGCTCTCACTACTGATTTTTAATCCTAATTTAATCATCATCTTCACCACGATCATTTATGTCTATGTTCACCGAATTGACATGAAAGCACTGACAAATATGAATATACTGTAGTCAACTTCAGTAAAACGTTATTAACGTGCCTAAACTCAGTAATTCACCATTTCTACGCATGACAACACACTTTGTCCGTGTTTGGCTCTCTCGCCGCACAGTGAAGCGTTCCCGCATTGACGTCACTTCCTGCTTCCCCAAAAACTTCAAAATGAGTCGAAGGAATTTCCCCGCGATGTTCGAAATTATTGATATTTATCGGAACGGTATCGCACTTTCTTTTTTAGGATGAGATTACTAGTAGCCCAATATTTCATTTCACAACAGTTGTTGGGATGCTGTCACAGGCTCTTTAAACTTAAAAACACTTAGAAGGCTTTGAATACGCTCGAGAGAAGGTTTTGATGAACAAACAAATGTTAATAAACAGGTAGTGATGTCAAGTCTTTTCCTATTTTGATAGAGACATTTTGCCATGGTTAATGAATTGTGGAGTTATTGAGGGCTATGTTCAGTCAGGACTATTTATGATCTCTGCGTAACTTGTGCTAGTAGACAACAACCATCTTAGAAAGTCGAACAAATGAGAAAAAACACTTTGAAACTGTTTGGTATTTAAATGTTGGCAGTGCACCCCTGTAAGCTTCTGAGCGTATTATTGAAGGTTTCTGTGTTACATATTGATGTTTTCCAGTCACTTGGAAATAAATGAGTTTAAATCATGGAACAATTCCTGTTCTCTGATGGACCAGGGCTTGCCTCATTCAGAGGAATGAAGGATGACATCACTCCTGGAGTATAGGGGAGTTACTCCCTGGCTTCCCTCACACCTCTCCCCCTCCCTCTGTTTCTCCTCTCATTCTCCCTCTCAAACTACTTTCTACCTCAAGTTCCCCGCTCATTCTCCTTCCTTGAACTCTATGTCACCCTCCCTTACTGTGCTCTGTCTGCTGAGCATCAGGACACCCCGCCCACCTTGACCCCCTTTATGTCACCTAGCGTCATTACCTGACATGGATCCAAAGAGTTTTTCTAAAAAACATTGAATGTTTTTGTTGAGAACAAATCTTTTCGAAAGTCAAAAGGAGTGGGCAAATTGTGTAGGAGTTTACATTTTTACTGTTTTGGTTATTTCCAAGATTTCTGAGCAGTTAGATTCACATTTTTTGGTTTGTTAGATCCAGCGTTGGGGTGGTTCTTCTTTCCTTTGTTTTATCAAGGAGAAAATGTTAAAATTGAGAAAAATGTTGACCAACCAAGCCTGCATAAACTGATCCAACAATATAAAACTTTAATGGCCAAACTATGATTTGTCATAACACACGTGCTCATCTTCCAATGAGTAGACATCCGTAGTGTGTGTGTGTGTGTGTGTGTGTGTGTGTGTGTGTGTGTGTGTGTGTGTGTGTGTGTGTGTGTGTGTGTGTGTGTGTGTGTGTGTGTGTGTGTGTGTGTGTGCGTGCGTGCGTGCGTGCGTGCGTGCGTGCGCGCGTGCGTGCGCGTCATTCGGATGTCCCGATCACCGTTTTTTGCTCCCGATCCAATTCCGATCATTTGATTTTGACAATCTGCCGATACCGATTTTTCCCGATCCGATCTTTATGCAATGCATTAAGAGAAAAAAAAGCATTGAAGTTGTCCCTTAAGGTTATTTTTGTATTTAAATGACAGTACCCAAACCATTCTATCCAACATGGATATAGCTTCTTTTTTTTACAGTAGCATGCATTGGATCAGTTCAGTTGTGCAGCATTGGATCAAAACAAAATAAAGCTTATCAGTGCTCGTTAGCTTACTGCTACTATTAGACACTGCGCCCTGCCCACTCTGTTGCCAGATTTGAGAGAAATAAGTAACCAGGTCTATGAAAACATGCCAAAAAGAATCAACACATACTGTACATGATGTTGTCTAATTCAACTAATTATACACCAAAACTAAGGCCTCAGGATGACTTTAAGATGTGAACATGGTCATTTTTGTTTTGTAACATTAAATTAAAAAAATTAAAAAATGTTTAAAAAAAAAATCCCGATCCCCGATATTTTTCTTCCGATTTTTTGAAAATCACGTGATCGGCTCCGATCCCCGATCACATGATCGGATCGGGACATCTCTTATCCCTCTATCCTGTTCACTTTTCACGCGATGACATAAATGTAAACCTTGTTTGGAAGGCTTCAGGGTCTGTGGTCGTCCATCTGCCCTCTCAGAGCTGCAGCTGTCCACTCCACAGGGCAGAGTGAGCTGTACATCACCACAAAGTAGACTGTGACATTGGGATATCTTTGGACAGCTAGCAGATGTATGTTCTAATTTCACCTCATATGTCAGATTTAGAGATCCTTGTCAGTTGAAAGTGACTTTGGTAGACAATTCATACATGCACATCTCCCATGCAGGGAGTAGAGCCGACCTGCGTCCTGCCTTATTTGTGTGAATGTCCAAAGCAGTCGCCCTGACCGCTTGGTATCTATAGCCGTGGTCCCAGATGAGAGGAATGGTCACTGTCTTGGACAACAATAGAGGTCCATGAACTCCAAGATATGTATAGAGCTGCCCGGCCACCATAAGTAACCCACAGAGCTGTCTGTTTTAAGAAAGAGCTAATTAGAAGTATGACGCTGCAGTGGGCCTGACATCATCTTTGTGTCTTCTATTTACCATTGGCTAATCCATCTGTCCATCTATCAATTACATTCTCCTTTGCTATTACCTTGAATATCAAAAAGCTCAAATCTAATTATGTATCCTGATCAGTCAAGGTCGCCCATGAGTGCGGCAGGGATGACTTATTTCTGAAAACCCGCCCAGAAGTTTCCTTCTTTTGGAATTTTACAGAAAATAAGCTCTTATGCAAACGTTTATGATACTTGCTCGTTTTGTATTGGCGTGAAAATGTCCACATAGTACATGTGGACATGCTTTTATCATTTTTGTAGCACCATAAGTAAAAAGCTAACATTAGGATAAAACAAACTACATCAAGGATAGCTTCATGTCAGTAACGCCAAGCTAAAAACAAACTGGTTCTTTACGTGTTATTGTTTTATTTAACCACTTTATTTAACCATGTTTTTAAACAACTTAAAACTTTCAGAAATTCACGAGTTCTATTCTATTCACGTATTTTATGTTGTTAAACAAAACATTGAAATGTATAAGTTTGTGTTAACCAAAGACCTTATTTCAGGCAAACCTTAATACCATTCAAAAAACCATTGACTTTGAGACAAAGGAACGAAAGTGCTCAAATGTTCATTCATTTAGGAGTTTCAGGGCTCATTCCTTCACCACTCTGACAACATAAGGAAAGCCTGACTTAAATTCATACACTTTACAGTGATACACTGCCAAATGTGACTATCTTTTAAGCACTGATAACATGTGTTTTATTGGTTGTTAATACTAATTGTGTTCTGTACCCTCCTTCAGGCGTGATTAGCCAATGGCAAGGAGAGTCTAAGGAGCGTGTCATCTCGCTCGTCCTCACCCACCTCCCGTTGCTCAAACCAGGCAACGTCGAAGCCAAGGGCGAGTACATGCGCCTGCTGCCACGCATCCTGGCCCACACCATCGAGCATGGCCGCCACCTGGAGGAGTCCCGCCAGCTCCTGTCCTACGCCCTCATCCACCCCGCCACCTCCCTGGAGGACCGCTCAGCCCTGGCACTGTGGCTCAACCACCTGGAGGAGAGGGCCGCTGCCCGGGGAGACTCACTGGAAAGGCCTCCACCTTCGGGACCACACCACCACCACCACCAGTCCACGCCACCATCCACCCTCTCATCAACAGGATCCTCCTCCTCCACCAACACCTCTTCATCAGGCAACCTCTACTCCTCCTTGCATCACCACCAGCGCTACGGCTCGGACGACCGCCTCAACGGCTGGCAGAGCTCCAGGGATTCAGGGCTGGGCGGAGGCTGGCATCAGCAGCAGCAGGGCTGTGAGAACGGGCACCTCCTTCTTTACCCATCATCCTCTGTGCCCACAACCATCAACACAGTTGGAACTGGTGGAGGCGGTACCACTGGTAAGAAAAGTATTTTCCTCTATGCCTTCTACTGTATAAGCCATTTTCCCACAACCTTTCAATAAATCATGAAATGATCTAAACAGACACATAAAAGGTTGACATGTAAGTATTTTTGCGATTAAGGATATTCTTAAAAAATGATAAAATAGGTATACTAACTTAACATAGAATAGCAGCAAAATAAGTAAAATAGTGTTATGTTTCAGCCTAAACAAAACAGTTTGCTTTTTAATATTCAAAAACTAAAAACATCTGTAAAAGCTTTAGTTTGTATAGAACATCAGTATACAGACTTCAAAATCAAATGGTAGTCTCCAAAATAATCTAACCTTAAATCCTTAATGCTCATCTTAACAGTTACCAACTACAACAAAGTAAGCTTCTTTTAACTTCACAATATAATATGTATCCACACCCAAAGCTATATTGATTTTGTTGACAGGCTGTGAAAGGCTCAAAAAGACGTTTTCTCCAGTGCTTCACCATCAAGAGTGTATTTTGTTCAGGTCTCCTCTTTTACCCTCTCTCTTCCTGTCCGTGTTTTGAGGATTCTTTGAAGCAATTCATTATAAGAGACAAGGAACCAGAAAGTCCAACTGGGTTAGTCCACTGTTATCATTGTCATTCACAAATGACAAAACCATATAGATACAACTCAGAATGCCTCAAAACACCTTGGCTCTTACATCTGCTTAAGTTTAGATTCCTTAGTCACAGGTTTAGACTATTCCATAATATTTACTCTCTCTTTAGTGATCGACATTTTATGCAGATCTTTTTTTATTTGATTGCCCCACTTTACAGACATTCTTAAATACTCTACTTACTTTCACATAGTATCGTCTTTTCTACACAAAATAACTTTTATTGTAATTTTTTGTCTTCAGACATTTTTTCGTTGTAGTTTGGCTGTGATTTTGGCTACACACATCATCTTTAAAAAAAACCTTGATTGAAAAAGCACAAATTATTTTAAAATGATTGTATTTTATCTACTTTAGTTGCTTTGATTACCTTGTGTTTTCTGACGTGAAATAGGCTACTTTCCACCACAGACTCTCAAGGTGGGTCTAACCCACGTCACCATCAGAGAACACCTCAGTGCTTACAGCCACGTACTCTGGGCTGGCCTGATGAAAGCTTCTCTGTCCGGGGTGGCCGCCTGATTACCCCCGCCCCGAATACATCACACTAGGGTCTCTAAGCTTCTCTGCTGTATTTAAAATCATAGCAATCTCATTTGTTATGCTTGATTAGATCATTATAATAATTGTAAGACAGCACAACAACACCTTTTTAAATTGAGCTCAATTGCTGATTCCATTAATGTTCAATTTAAGACACAAGGTGCACTACAAACTTACCAAACCCGCTAAATACATTTAAAACACGCTAAATAGAATCTGCACATGAAATAGCCTTCACTCGGAACACCTAATAAGACATCACCTACAGAGGGCTGTGTGAGCTGCACCACACAACATATAGAGGGCAGGGCTGTTGAAATTGAACATAACTATGGTCAGAGCAAGATATTTCCAGACAAGAATGCAAGGGCTCTGTGTTTTTTTCTTCTGGGAGATGAAAGAAACAGCTGAGGGTTTATAAATAAAGGCACATTTAAAGCCCTGCTCACTGCTCCAAGAAAGACCCTCTTGTATTTCTGACTGCTAGCAGCTTCAGTCCCACACACAAGACCTCAGGATTTCACAATTGATAAACTAGAGTTACCCCAGCAGAGGACTGGTGGACACGGTGAGCAGAGGCTAATCAACATGAGTGTTGGATTACCTAGAACTGGAATGAACCTGTGGACATTTAGTCTAATGTAGATCAAACCATGTACAACAAATCCATGAATACAGTTATCATTCAATTTCATAAATATGCAACATAGAAACAATTCCTATCAGTCGTGATGGAGATTACAGGGGTATGATGGTCCAGCTACGTCAACCTGTATGCTACTGACACCACATCCTGTTGACCCCCGACCCATACTCTCAACCGTCGCCCAAGCCCCAGCAGCACACCCATCCTTTCCCTTGTAAGGCAGCCTTTGTGGGAGACTGTATTTAGGGAAAATGGCTAATATTTAGGGACTGGAACTTGTAATGTTAGCTGGGCACCTATTTTAAACAGGGCCCATGAAGTCCTATACATAGCGCTAACAGTAAGAGCACCGCATATAGGACGAGGAGGAGAGAGCCTGGAGTATTGGTGGCAGTTTACCCCGTCAGAGCGGCGGCACAAAAAGCTCCCTGGCTCTCCACCTTTTCTTTCTGTTTGCTTACCTCAGCAGCAATCATCAGGGATGTTGGCTGCTTTTATTGGGTTTCAAATATTGGGATTTCAGTAGATACCTTGGTTTAGGACTTCATCATTTACCCTTGGGTGCATAGATTTAAATGATTGAAGAAGATGAAGAAAGAAAAAAGGAAGATTTGTCATTATGATACATGTGTTTGAGAGTTGGTTAAGTCAGAACATCAGCAGGTGCAGACATCCGGAGAGTTGTGCGTGTCCCCTGATGTAGCGTCCTCCCTCCAGCTGTCTCTATTCAACTCAGAAACAAATCTACGTTTATATTTAATATCAGAGCTTTTTTAAAAGTGAAGTTGTAGGGATCTAAGGTCAGTCATGGAAAATCAACTATGCAGTTACCATATGCGTGGCAACAAAATGTGATTTGACCTGCTCTACAAAGGACTGGCATAGTTAGGAGGATGAGCAATTCTACAAAGTAAATGAATGTTAACCAAAGGGTGTAATTAATTTGAAAACCAACACTTTTCCACTTTTATATTATTTTCTATCTAAAAGTACAAATTCATCAAAGACATCCGAGTCATGCTGGACATTTGTATCTGATTAGAGAGACTTAGATATACTTTGTAAAAGGTAGATGACATACTAAACAATGTATTAATCCTCCTCCATGGTCAGACCCTGGACTGATCAAATGATTTGATATACTTTATTTACTTTACACTCCCAATGTGATACTTCCTGTCGTTGGTGCTAAATTGTTTTATTCAACGTGTGCTCGTTGTCCCCAAATGTACTTTGTGTGATGTGAGGCTCTGGCAAAGAACAATTGTTAACATTAATATAATATTTTAACTAACTCAGATCGACACTATGTTGTGTGCAAAAGATGTAGGGATGCCCATGCTCGGTAAAAAATGGACAGGGCTAAGTTACGTTTTAAAGTTATCATGATGTGTTAAAATGTAATTTTGTAAAAATGTCGTTTTCGCCAGAAACCTTCTGTTAGTGGGTTAGAGTTATTGATACAGTTGTTTAAATATATCTTCAGATTAATACAATATAAACTTGAGAAAAAGGGAATAATGACAAACCAGACAAATTTACTTGATATATAAAGTGTTATTAAATACATGATTGAGTCAACAGCCTGTTTTTTCCAGTAGGATATCTTCAGTCTTAGCCAAGCTCTGTTTCTCAGCCTGCACCCACCTGACTAGCCTTATTGTTGTGTTGTAGTCCTGACGAGTGGAGGTGGCAGCCAGCAGCACAGTCCCCTGAAGCGCTCCGTGTCCCTCACCCCTCCCATGAGCGGCCCCAGCAACCAGCCTCTGGGTCACGTCTGGCTGTCCCAAGAGGACCTACGTTCTGCCCGAGGCCCCGCCCCAGACCACGCACCTCTCTCCCCCCAGAGCAGCATCGCCTCCTCTGGCAGTGGGGGCAGTGAGCATCTGGAGGAGGCTGGTTTAGGAGGTTCAGGTCTGCATCGCAGTTCCTTCCACGATGAGGGCAGCGGCATGAGGGGTGTGTATGAATGACCAGTGCGCCGTTTGTAGTGCAGATCACTCCAGTTCACATCCTTAGATGAGATTATTCAGATATTGGGGTTCAAACTTGCCTAACTCGTACCCTCGCACACACTGTTGAAAAGCACATTTGCAAGGGTTTTGACAAACTACTATTAGCAACTATAAACCTTTTGTAACAGCCATTCGTTCAGATATTCTGTGGCTGCTTTCCCTTGGAAAGATTTACCAGAAATGTGTGAAAAAGAACTGCCTTTTACTGCTATTGCGGAGTAGAGTCTACAAGATGTCTTCTTTGTCCATTTTTAACAAACACTCTACCAAGTTATTACAATTAGGCAAGTTTTAACTTAAGAAGGTAAAATATTATTTAAATCCCTCCCTTCAGTGTTCAGTTGTCCTCTTAATACAATTTTTTTTTTTACGATTTAATTTTTTTTTTATATTCTCGCCGAAGATAGATGCGGACAGTTAAGTGCACTCTGGAGAGAAGTAGATCAAATGACAGGCATCAAACTTCTCTATTAGACCCAGGTTTCTTACAGGGACAGACATGTTTAGTGGAGAAAGGTATATGTGTGTGTGCCTTACAGGTGTTCAGCTCGCGGATCTTGCAAGCTGCAGATCTGTTCAGAGCAGTTTGTCCGGTGGAGTACAGGTCAGAGCTGCGGCCCCAATAAGGCTTAGGTGTTTGCTCTCTGAGCTGGAGTTTAACTTTTCAAGTAGCGTCTGTCGTTCTTTTCTGTAGACAATCATTTTCATCTTGTCATGTAGCTAAACAGGAAAGCAAAACTAACATCTTCAAACACCCACAAGAGGACAAGCTCACATTTGTCAATTTCTCTTTCTGAGGAAGAAGGTGACACCATTTCTTAGGTTTTCTCCTGAAGTATCAGGAGGGGAAATAAGGTTGACAGAGCATTACATTCTTAATGTACAATTATTGTACGGCCATTATTGTGTAGCAATGTGGATTATGGAATATCCAAATAGCAGGAGGATAAGTTTTGTTGTGATACAGAGATGACCTGGCTTAGAGATATTCTTTTACAAAAGAATGGTTAAACATGGTTTTCTATGAAAAGAGAATTAAGATGCTTATGCATGATCATTCACTCCAATATCCTCAATTATGTTGCATATACAATATCAGGTCGAATAATCACAATGACTTCTTTCAAATCGCTCAGCCCTTAATCAAAGGGTCTAATAATGATCAAATACTAGTTTAAAGTATGTTTTACTTTAGTGGAAGTGCGAGGTCTGGGTCTTTCAATGCCACTCTACATCCCTTGGGATGGGAGGACACGTATTTATAAAAGACTTCTTCCGGTCAAATGTAATCCTCAGATCAATACAGAGCTTCAGAACAATAAAGGAAACATACAATGACTATGTATAAATGCTGAACACAAAAGAGAAACATGCATTCCTTTCCTAACTCTAAACTCACGTTAGAGAGAAATGTTTAAATCAACATGTAATCAGATATAATTGACTTGTTGATCCTTTGTCTTTCTAAAAGCTTATATACACATCTGATAAATACATTTTACAGGGGCTCAAGATATACAATATAATGATACGTATTTATCAAAAAAGATATGTTTGATGATGATTGATTGATGTTGTGATTGAATAATGCATTACGTATTTGGTCCACCGTATTCTGTATGTTAGCTTATTTTGCGGGACCGATATATGTGTGTACTTTTCATTTATTCTGTAGGATTTTAAGGTTGACATCTAAAGATGTATGTCAACACTATTCTCTTTTATTTTAAAGTTTGTTGTTTATTATGTATATTTTATGTATGTATCTCTACTCCATAGTGTGTTTGTATTTACAACAAAGAAAAATTATGTATTTTGTATATTGCTTACAGAAGTTATAATGTCAGAATGACAGCTTCCCGATGAAATGATCGTATCATAATAATGGGTCTTCTGCCCCCAGATGTTCCTGCGTGGCTGAAGAGTCTCCGTCTCCATAAGTACGCCGCTCTCTTCTCCACGATGACCTACGATGAGATGATGTCACTGACCGAAGAGCAACTTGAGGCACAGGTTTTATATATTTACACACACGCACCCACAGTTAGTTAGATCTAAATTGCATCAAATGTAAGAACTTTAATTGGCAATAGTTGTTACAGTATACTTTCTTTTCTATCTGCTGATGTAAATAGAGAAGACATTTGAATATACTGTATGGTAATGCTTGTGTTAAATGCATGGCAGGAGATAAGAGCAGAAACATTTCAGCACTAGTATGAACAAAAAGAAAAATATGGACCGGTTTTAATCTGGTTTATTATTTAAGGGATGCAATGATGTAACACGCCAGGTCAAGTTGTTACTGTTGGAATAAATGATTCTAATGTAGCGATATCTGTGTTTGAACTTAGAGTTTTGTCTGAAACAGAGGATGCAGCTAAAATTAAACACAGCCCACCGGGAAGCTGTATACTTCCTCCAGGTGCTGCTAACTCTTTCTCTATCTGACCCTCACATGATGCTACACACAATGGATTACATTTACTGATATTGGCCTGATCTGGAAATACACAGATTTTCAGTATCAGTTCTTAATGTGACATGTTAGAAGAAGTATCGACATATTCTTCATGTTGGTCCATAGTAACAGATTTGTCTTGGAATCGGTGTTAACCATTTCTGCCCTCCCAACCAAAGATGGGCTGATTAGTTATTTCCCTCCAACATTCACTGGCTGCGTCTCCTGCTGTTACATTTTCCGCAAAAACATCTGCCTTCCTGTTGTTGAATGATAACAAGCCGGCCAATTTCAAGAAGCTTTACCCTCCATGTTTGCAAACTTCCCATCTCTTTATCTCACACATCAGCTATCAGTCTATAGCTCTTTTTAAAATGTGCACAGAGATGTTTGACACACAACCTTTTCTTCCAACAGAAGGTCACTAAAGGAGCAAGGCACAAGATTGTTATCAGCATTCTGAAGCTCAAAGACAGACAGAATCTACTTCGCAGCTTGGAAAAGGTCAGTAACTGTACTACATCATCATCATCCTCATCATCATCTTCTTCATCTTCTCACCAAAAAGATTGCATACACCTTCTAGTCTTACCCTTCATTATTTGAACTTTGGGGTTTCTGTTGATTCATTTATTTATTTTTGGATATTGATCTCCTTTCTCGAGTAAGAAGGGTGGCCATTCTGAGTGCGCGTTATTTATCCGAGATGCAGCTAAGGGAACATCTAATCCCGGAAGGAGAGTTTTGGGCTCCACATGTTAACCCATCCTCTTCCCCCCGCCCCTCAGCCCTCCATTCAGCCTTCAAAGCAAGACAATGGCGCTCAAGGGCAAACCACAGGAGGGATTTCTTGGGCCGGCTAAATTCAGGCTTAACCTTTTCACCAGCGCTTCATTTCAAAATGTGTTAGCGCTGCACTGGTAGGGCTGGGGAAACAAGACACCTGTTGCTTGGTATTTTGGGTTTACACAGACTCCGGGTGGGAGGAAGTCTGATATCACGGACACAAGTAGCGAAGGAAAACCACATGTATGTATTTCTGGTGTTACTTTATTCTCTGCTCTATCACATGGCCGTGTGGATGCTATTCCCATCTGTTCAGATTCTTCATGTTGGTCCATAGTAACAGATTTGTCTTGTATGATTGTGTTAAATGTTTCCTGTTGTAGTAGAGGTTATTTTCTTCCTTTTCATAACCCTTTCTTCCTCCTCTTCCCTCCTATCGTCTACCACAGGATGTGTTGGAGGGCAGTAATCTGCGCTCGCCCCTACAGGAACTCCATCAGATGATCATGACGCCTATCAAGGCTTTCAATGGTGGCGAGGAGGCCTCTATGCAGCGGGCCCTGCTGAGCTCCGAAAGCAAGAGCGCAGCGCCGGGCTCCCACCTGACGGGGGTTGGGGGAGCCGGAGGGGAGGCTGAGTCGAGCACAAGCGTCATCGCTGAGGGGGATCTACCCGGCCAGTTCACCCGTGTCATGGGCAAAGGTGAGCTGCATGCACCAGCTCTCAGGTCAGATGGTTTTCATTGACTTAGAAAGATTTGTTTTATCACAACGTCTTATTTCCATCCTTCTCAGTTTGTACCCAACTACTGGTGTCGAGGTCAGACGAGGACAACATCAGCTCCTACCTACAACTCATCGACAAGTGCCTTATACATGAGGTAAGAAATGACCAAATATACATAAAGCACATCATATAGAAACAGACCGTGCAGGAGGTTTAGTTTCATTCTAGAAAAATCATGAAAGAGGAAATGATTCCTCTTGTCCCACACTTCACCTTCACTTACTGGTTACTTATCTAATACCTGTGATTATTTATCGGCAGATTTTGGTGAACATAATAGGTCTACCCTAAATACATCTACATGCAGACATTGACATACCTTCCTCGTAACTATATGTCAGAACAGTATTTTTGTGTTTTCTGTCAGAATATTAACATTTTAGCCACACATTAAAATCTTGAAAGAAAACAATTATATAATTTTTAGAATCTGAGTTTGAGTAAATGATCAGTTGGATTAAGTTGAAATGAATAAATGTGCATTGTGTATTATGATGTTTTGTCAAAGCATAGTGTCCTTTTTTGCAAAGAAATGCACCTGAAAATCCTCAGCAGTCATGCTTCATTTCATCCCTGATTCGTACTCCCTGTTCTCCCCCTCCCTGTCAGTCCTTCACTGAGACGCAGAAGAAGAGGCTGTTGTCATGGAAACAACAGGTCCAGAGGCTGTTCCGGTCCATTCCAAGGAAAACTCTCCTCGACATCGCAGGGTACCGAACGCAGAGGAGGTAAATCTCACGGACATGCAGTATCCCTTCTCCTGGGTTATACTGGCTGTGATGAAACACTTTTAATCAAATTCACTTTAACTTTTATGAAACAATCTGAAAATCAATGCTGACAGACATATGGAAATAAATATTGTGCTGAATGAATTCAATGTGAAAAAAAAAAATATATATATAATGAAGTTCACTCATTGAATTTATTTCCTTTGTTCACATGTCTGCGATTACAAAAGCAGTATCTGACTAAAAAGATAATAAACGCGAATGACTGTGAGATTACGACCTCCGCTTCAGTAAAGAAAGTTAGGATTATCATTTAATCATAAATTCATAACCTCTTAAGCCCCACGCAGAGATGTTCACAAGTCTTTTTTTGCAAGTCCAAGTCAAGTCTCAAGTCTTTGGTCACGAATCCAAGTCAAGTCTCAAGTCTTTGTGGGGTGAGACTTGATCAAGTCTCAAGTCTTTGGTCACGAGTCCAAGTCAAGTCTCAAGTCTCTAAAAAATAAAAGTCTCATATCTCTTCTGGTTGTAATAACCATAATAAACATGTGCCTTCTATTGTCTGCTGCTATCCAGTCTGTTAAGAATACTGCACAGCTATATCTAAGAAATTCAAAGCATTTACTGTATTATTATCACTCCTATATCTATTAGCATACACTATCAGTACTGATTACCGGTAGTTGTTTGTTATATGATCACTTTAAACAGGCTATTGCAATGCAATATGAGGAAAAACATCACACTTTAGCTAAATGCAAACAAGTGTGACAAGCAAACATTCACTCATCTTTTCAAATATTCAGTTACAAAGCTAGTAGCAAGCTAAGTTAACATTACATAGCTGATGCTGAGCTAAACATGTTTGCTAACCGTCCATATGCGTTAATGTGACTGACCTCTCCGGGTGAGTTTTCAAGTGCCTGATGAAATTTGACGTTGTTGCACAAGCATCCTTAATTTTGATATTTCAGACTTTGCAGTGTGCGCTCCTTTTGTTGGTGCCGCCGGCGTTTTGTTCAAAGTTTTTATAGTTGAACCTAATTACAAGCGGTACAGCTGCAGGTGTGCCGCCGGTCGCCATGGTGTTACCATGAGGTAGTGCGAGAGGCGCGCACCTGCGTTATGAGGTTACCATGGTTACCATGAAAAAAAGGAAGGACGCCCGTCAGACGTTTCAGAGTTTCCTCAATGTTAATACCAAAAATAGAAAACACAATGATTGTTCACGAGTCCCAAAACACGAGTCCAATTCGAGTCCGAAGTCTTTTGAGCAGGAGTCCAAGTCAAGTCTAAAGTCTCCGTGTGTGCGACTTAAGTGCGACTCGAGTCCGAGTCACAAACTCGAGTCCCCATCTCTGGCCCCACGGACCCTTCGGCGGGTCCGAAACCACAACATCTGCAAGCAACAGTGTCTGAGTGCTTCTTAAGATTTAATAAACTATGAATGTTTCATATCCACACCGTTCTTCGTAACGGGAAGAAACTCAGCTAACTGATGATTTTTTTTTTTTTAGCAAAAGAAAACACAAGGCTAACGCTGAGCCTCTGAATTAGCCCTGAGCGAAAAAAACTTAAGGCCGTTAGCACAGAACACTAGCTATAACACCCTTATTACTTATCGTAACTGCACATCCAACCCATCGATTAGCATTGTGAGATTACACAGAATCGATAGGTATCTATATCGTCACTCCATGATCAGAACTCGCAACATTATAAACAAAAACAGACATCACAACACGTGGCATTAGATAGCAAACACGGCAATATGTCTTACCTTTGTCGTTGTCTGATCAAAAGTTGTCTTCAATGGCATTAAAACGATAAAAGCGCTGCTGAAGGTTAATCCATAGGTTAATCCAATGTGTCTGTGTCACTTGAAATTATTTCTGATAATCCATCAGCAATAAACCTATTTTTAAGTTTTCAAATTTCAGAGCGCAAGATAGGTTTCGCTTTAGGCAAACTGCGTGCGCATAGCCCCCACTTCTCAATGGTAACGTCGGTGTGTATGTGGAAATTCCCCTTCGATTCTATTGGCTCTAACGGTTAAAAAGAGATGTCAATCATCAAAATCGACCAATGGGTTCCAGAGAAACAACAAAAACGCCCATTTCCACCCAAATGACCCCCAGAGGTGGAGTTTTTTTTGCTAAACCTCTCTAAAAAGGTCAAATGTCACTTGTTTTGTATCAATCTTGATACAGGGTACTTATTATATGTTGTACTTTGGATTCCTAAAGCTTTTAGTCTACCTTACCATCATTCAAGGGTGGTTTTCACTATAAGTAAAAATGAATTTTGGACGGACACTATAATTTACATTTCTTTACTATGTTCAATCTGAATTTTCTTTAAAATAAAAACATCTATATTGATTCTGACTTTTCTACATCCAACTCACAGGTTTATCATTACTTTTAGAAAAAAGATTACTAATTTTCCCCTTTTAGAAGTGTAGTTATGGTCATTTGTTCTGGGAATGTCATTTTCGAGCCTGAGACCTAAAAAACAGGCTTGGGGCTCAAACAAACTTGAGGTTCTCAATGTTCAGCTCATTATTTGTGAACCTTTATGAATGTCTAACTTCTGTGTTCATCACACATGTTCCTGTGACCAGGATCTTAATGGATGTTTACCTTTATCTCTTTGTCTCGTCCTGCTGCAGCCGGTTCGGCCAGTCTAACTCTCTCCCCACCGCTGGCTGTGTTGGGGGCAGCGTGTCGGCCCGGAGGAGCCTCCGTCAGTTCCAGATGCCCTCCAGGAGCTTGCCGGGTGCCAGGCTGGGCCTGCTGGGCAGCAGTGGGCTGCTGGGACCCACACCCCGCAGCTCCAGCAGCACACCCACCGGTCCCAAGCAGGGCAGACAGGTGGGTCACACAAGCAGAACATTTAAACCAGGATAGGAGGGATGAGAGGAAACCAGCAGGGAGAAAAGGGACTGTCAGGCAAGAAGGGCAGACAGTATTACAAGTTATATAAAGCGTAAACTTCTCAATCATTCCTGGAAAATGAAACCGTTTATTAGTATATCTTTACATTACAGATTTAGTATGACGTCAAAATAGCATTGGAATATGGGATATTATTGTTGTATAAGTGAATAGCAAAACCTTTTACGGGTTTCGTTTGAATCCATAGATAATATAATGGATATTATCTTTATAAAATGATGGTAGCCAAAAATTGCGATTTCTCAGAACTTAATATTTAATCTTCAAGTTGTATTTTTATTATGGATTAACGGTCAAAAACTGAAATATTCCCTTTTGAGAAGGTGCAACCCGAAGATTTTTGATAAATGAACCATGAATAGTTTCAGTCATAAATGATGAATGCTTTGGGTCTTACCACACAGAGCTTTGGGAGTATGGGGAACAAACTTGGTTTAAATGCTGAATCATTTTGATTTGGTCTGTTATCACTAACTCCAGCATCAGTTGAGGTGATACAATGAGGGTGGGTAGTTCAAGGTACTTTCTACAAGGCCTGTTCATCTTTCTAATACATAAAACCTTAGCTCCACTAAATCGGATTGCTGAATGGAAGGGGTGTTCGTGACTGTAAAAGGAAAATGTAGAAATGCATAATAACACATTCCAGGATGTTTACAATATCCTGGGCAGCAGAATTCCTCCTTCAGCACGTATTCTTTCTGAAATAGACTTTTGATTCCATGACGAAATAAGTGAGGGGTGAGGAAGAGGAGAATGAAGTGAGGTGGATGGAACTTGTAGGCAGGACACCCCACATACCAGAGGCCCTGCGTCAGTGCCGAACACTGAAACAGGAGGAGCTGTTTCAGGCCCATCCTGGCACCCTTCAGTTTGTGCTGACCCAATCCCCCCCCCCTCTCTCTCTCTCTCTCTCTCTCTCTCTCTCTCTCTCTCTCTCTCTCTCTCTCTCTCTCTCTATCTATCTCTCTCTCACACGTACCTTACAATGGGAGGAAATACCTCAGTTCCTCCTCCTCACACTGGACCTTCTTGTGTTGGATGTAGATGTGTAGAGAGAGAGAGGATAGGATGGTGGGAGGGAAATATGTGAGTCATAGTTTGGGAGAGGTGGCTCTGATGTTGGAGGAGGGGCAATGAGAGAGTGAGAGCGTATATGAGTGCATCTGAGAGAGAGAGGCAGTGAGAACAGTGCACAGGCATTTCCTGTTTTTCCCCCGGCCCGTGGCACTGCAGGGCCGCGGGGGGGTGGGGTCTGAGGGATAGAGGTGAGAGGAGGGGCGTGTGGTAGTGGTGTCGGGGGTATAATAGGCAGGTTACAGTGAGGAATTCATGCGGTGAGCGTCTGAGACTGTCATTAGGTGTGGGCTAGACCTCCAGACAGGAGTGTGGGGGGGGGGGGCATTTTGAAGAAGCTGTGGCTTTTATCCATTCTTGCATATTCCATACACCTCTTTGATCAGTGAACGTAAAAGGAGGAGAATCTGTGATTAATATTTTTGTATTTGTGCATCAAGTTATTATATTTTTATATGTCCTTATAACTTGTCAGTATTTGAATAACCCGAAGATCCACAGATCATAAAACATATGAATTAGAGCATCCTGGTGCACAACTATTGTTAGTGTCCAATCTCAATCAAACTGTATAACAATAGGAAAAGTCAATATGCAGCATATGCTAATAACTTGCTAACTTCACTACAAGGAACTTTTAATAGAGCCCAATGCACCTTAGACAAATTGAAATGTGTGTTGTGCTTGATCTAGCAAGTATTTAGGATGATGTCTATTTTACAAATAAAATTGCTCTTTAATTTAGACAAAACTTGAATTTAAAAACAAGAGTCCCCATAATGTTTTAAACCTCAAAAGTAGTGATAAGGGTGCCATTTTATACAACCTGTTAATAGGTTTGTTTTGTTATCCGGCACAATTTTTATGTTCATTTAGACGACAAAAGCAGAAAATTTTATGTCCTTCTTGTCTGTCTCTTCGAAAACTTTGATTCCGTGAAAGTAGATGGAGAGATCCGAAATGAGGATAAGTGTTTAACTTTAGGTTTGACATTAGTCTTGAAGAGCCTTTTGCATGTACATGAATCTAACTTCATGTTGTTCAACTGTTGTCCTTAGGGTCTGTGGTTCGCCAACCCCGGGGGAAGCAACAGCATGCCGAGCCGGACTCACAGCTCCGTGCAGAGGACGCGCTCGCTGCCCGTTCACACCTCCCCACAAACCATGGTCATGTTCCAACAATCCGGTATGAAATGAATGAAAACATGCTGAACATTATTATTTATTGTAGTTTTTATATAGTTATATAAACTGTCTAAATATTTCCATTGCAACACCACAACTTTTTCTTCCTTTTTAACACTTTTAAGGAGTGTTTCCATGATGTATTAATGTTATGTCAGTTCGATCATGCTTTTGAAGATTTGGATGACATCACTGACCTTAACTCTATCCGCAAGCATTAAAGTTCTCTATAGGGGCTTCTGGTTGTTAATGTACATATTCACATTAAGACGAACCTATTTTAGTGTCCTTTCTGCAGGTTAGGGCTGACAATGTAGGTACTACACGTTTATGATTAATCATTACTTTCATTAATGGAATTGTAGTTCATTGTAGAATTGTAAATGTAATTATTGTCTCGCTTTTTTAGAGACCATTTTAAACCTCACATAACATGCCTCTTGGCTCTACATTTGTAAATGACCCCCATGACACATTGAGATTCTTTAAACCACCTTGTCCCACAACACCACTAAAAAGCAAGGTGGTTTAAGATGCACTTGACCACATGTCTTTGTAGTGTAAACATAAATGCGTTTAGAAGCTTAGCCGACAAGGACATAAAAGGAAACTACGTCATCAAACCGAGGAAATGACGCATGGCTTTGTTTTGTTTCTTCTGTTTTTCTCTTATTCAGTTGATTCTCAAACTGCTTATAAAATATAATAAATCAACAACATGAAAGCTTTCTAATATTAACCAAGACCAGAAACTCTTAATTAGTCCCACCTTGTCAAAGGCAGCAAATAACAGACACACTACTTCAGTTGTTGCCCTTCACAATAAGAGCCCTAGCCATATACACTGCATCACCGCTTACCAGAGGGAACTTGAATTAGCTTATCTTCAAAATAGCTTTGTTTAAGACAGGGATGGGCAACTTTGATGGTGGTGGGGGCCACATCATTGATGTACTGGCCACCAGGGGGCCGCAGATTCACTTGGAACACACACACACAAAAATTCCATGTGTTGTATGTAATTATTAACAAATATACTAAGTCTGACATCTTCATTGACATTTTACAATCAAAGGGAACATCCCCAAAAATGGGAACATCCTCTAATAAGCTCACTAAACAAATATCAGTTCACAGAAATGTTATTTCATTTTTACAAGTGGCATGTTTGTAAAGAACAGGTTATTAAACAGTGGAATAAAACTATTTTAAACTATTGGAAAGCACGGAAAATGTGTGTGTATTGAGATTAACCATTAAGATGACATATACATGAAGTAATAAACACTAACCCAGACATTAGTTGTATAACTTGAACCTAAAACACTTGTAGCCAGTCTCTGCATTCCCCTTATTCCACAATAAGGGGAATGTCAACACAGACACCTGTCAGACCGCACTCTGCTGTTCCTCAGCGCCGCTCCCCCTCCCGCCCGCTGAAATTATGAATGAAAAGCGTAGTAATCATAGATAACACGGCAGGGTCCGTGACAGTTTGTTTTCATCTGATTTCAAATAAACAAAGTCTTGGTTTTAAGAATATTAAACTTGTTTCGCCAATTTCAGATGATAAAAACAACTTTTAAGCTTGTGAAGGCATAATTACACGAGGCAACTTAACGTCACAGCAGACATAACAACAGCCGGTGTTTCTTGTGAGGGTTTCCCCGGGAAACAAACACAATACACACAAATGCGTCACAGATTATTTCGCGGTATTTGAAATCATGTACGCAGCTCGCGACGTAACTAGGAGTCTAGTGGATGGTATCAGTACTACAAGTAAAACAAATTAAAATATATATATTTTTATTATTAATTACGTTGTTTATAAATTAATCTGAGGGCCGCAAAAAGAGGAGGCGGGGGCCGCATGCGGCCCGCGGGCCGCCATTTGCCCATCCCTGGTTTAAGTTATCTGAATATGTTTTAAAAAGAATCATAATTGTTTCTAATTTGATCTACCGCGTCGTTCCCCTCCAGCCTGAAAGCCCCCCACTCAAGAGTGTCCACACAGGCATGGGTCATGGTTACCATGGGCGCCAGGCGGAGTGACTTGTAGTAGCCTCTGCTGACTGTCCCACGGGAACAAAGTCCAGTAATAGGACAAGCTGGGCTTCCTCCATTCTTCGACACACACACACACACACCACAACACACACACACACACACACACACACTCACACACACACACACACACACACACACACACACACACAGCAGACATGTTCTCTTTTTAGAATGAAGAGGGAAATAATATTTAAAAAAATCAGGAGTGAGGAAGTTAGAGGGAGAGAGGAGACTGTATGTGAGAGAGGAAGAGATAGAGGCAGGCTGGAAGGGAGGGAGGGAGGGAAGAAAGAGTCGGAGGAGTCTCACAATGAGGGTCTTTGTGCAGCAAGGACACGGCTCCCTGGCTCACTTTCCTTCTCTCCCTGACTCACTCCCTTTCTTAACTTTCCCTCCCTCTTCCTCCCATCTCTCCTCCTTTGACAACTCTGCAGAGTCATGCACTCGTAGCAGTCACTCTCAACAGCTGTGTCTGGGCCAGAGAAACTGATTTGAAAGGCTAGAC